CCCCCTGCCCCGAGCGAGGCGGCCCCCGGTGGGACCGCCCGCCGCTGTCCCCACCGCAGGGACAGGCTGGGACTTAAGGTTTATCCTGGTCCAGGTCACTTTTGGGGGAAAACAGCCCCAAAACGCTGCTTTTCCCAGCAGTCGCTAGCAGCAATTGACTAGTGTGGATGCCTCAAATCTTGATTTCTTTGGAAAAAGAGCTGCAAGGTGGGGCTGAAAAACACTTGGAATCAAAGTGTCCTCGATACCTTCCAAGGGGGGAGACCACGAGTCATAGAACGAAGGCCAGGAGGCTGAAGAGGATGACGAGGGGCAGGTGGCATCGCCGGGCTGATCCCGCGGACTCCGGGTATTCCTGCAGAGGCAACGAAATGGCTCGTTAATCCATTGCTTTAATAAGGGGGACGCGGAGTGCCGAAGCGGTTCCAAAATCAGCCCTTTCCATCCACTTATATCTCATTCTTCCACAGCAAGGAGGGACGATTGGTTTTGGGGCAGAAAGAGGGGATTTGGGCTTACCTCCTCGTAGGGGTATATTGTGGGTATTAAGGTGATGTTCTCGGTGTAATACTCCCCGGTGGCGTATAGGTAATCGCCTGCAATGACAGCGCCCAGCGTTACCCCCAGCGATCCCGCGGGAATCCCAAAACTGGGATATTTGTGGTGCCGGAAGCATCTTGGCCCCAGGGATTTTGGAACCCGGCTGCTGCCGCGTGTGCGGAGGAAGGAAACGGAGCGAGGAGGAGGATGAAGTCATGGGAGGAAGCACCGGAGCGGGTGCTGCACGGGATCTCCCATCCCTGTCTTTTATTCAATATATACCCTGGCAAAATGGGATTTCTGATGCTAACAAGAACCGCTGGGGGCAGAGCAGCTCCAGAAAACTTGGAAATCCCCTTTTCATCCCATTTTCTGCCACCCTCACATTGCTTATTCCCAGGATTCCTGTGCAGGTAGGAGCCGTGAGGGCCTCACTCACCCTTCCAGCATTTTCCAACCCAGCATATTCTCTGCTTGACCCAAACCCTGGCCCGGGAGGCCCCAAAAGACGCATTTTCTCACCATAATAGGTCGCATAGTTGTAGAGAAACTCTGATATCCCGTCTTCTGCCTCTGCAGTTCCTTTAAAAAAAGAAGAAAAAAAAATATATATATAGTTCGTCAGCCCAAACCGCATGCGGAGATGCTCCCCCTTCTGCAGCGCTCCGTTGCTGTACACAGGGTTACGGAGCTCTGCTCGCTTCCCTTTTCCAAGGTGACGTTAATGGTGTTTTCTCTTCCCCCGGTGCCGGCTCCCGAGGCCGTTTTTCTCGGAAGCTGCTTGGGGAAGATCCTTGGGAAACGGGCTCGGGGTTTGCGGCGGCCGCAGCAGCTCCCGGCCGTGGGGAGCGTCGCCCGCAGCTCGTGGTTGGAGGAGCCGGGGATGCCGAGGAGGTCCCGGCCCCGACGGGGTCGCGGCTTCCCCA